TTATTGTTTGATAATCAAAAGTTTATTTATTGTATTATTCATAATAACACTGATAAAACTCATTTCATAATTATAGGTTAACTTGTTATTTGTAATTATAATTACTTGAAGCTGCAATGTAGTCTGACGCTCGGCCGCATGGTGTTCTGACAACGCTTGGAGCCCGGCGCGCCGTGATAAATAAATTCATATTCTTTCAAAATACAAAATTTTGAAAGAGAAATCAATGAAATTTTCATTTATTAACTTAAAAGTTAATTAACAATATGATAGTAAACAAATAAATTTTATTTATTTATGTTTTCTTGAAGTATATACACTTGACAGTAAATCCTCAAAATTTCATTATTTTATCTTTAACGGTTGTTATTAAATCCAATTTTTAATTAAAAATTCTTTAAATTTTAATTGTAAAAAAAATTGTTATTAAAACTAAAATTTTACAAAATCCTTTGAGGGATCAATTTCCCATAGTGACTACATATGAAAAAAATATATGGACTTAATTTTTATGATCAAATGGAAAATGGGGGGTCCACTTGACGTGATCTAGCTCATATCTCATATTTTAAGACTTAAATAATTGTAGCATAATTTTTCTGCAATTTAACAATATCAAACTAAATATTAAGTATTTGGAAAAATAAATTAAATTAGTTTGTCAATTTATTAGTTCCTATTGCTTAGTTAAGCGTTTAATATGTTGATTAATTTTTTATTTGGGGCTGGGAAAAAATTGCATCAATTGTTCTTCTATTAATGGTAGTTTTAGCTCATACGGAATATTTGTCGCAGTTACTTGAGATCTTCCACAATTTTGAATGCCTTTTAGATGTTTGCAAGGTAAGCAGTCCTCATTTTCGAATGAAATTAAAGTTACTGGACTGAAGGGCTCATCCTCCGTTTCCAGAAATTTAATTTGAACAGCACATTTAAAATCTGCCCAAACCTTTAAATGAACCGATTTCATACGTTTTTCCAACTTTATGAAAGAGAGAAAGAAAGAGAGAGAGAATTTCAACAAATTTGTTATTGTGTTTTTGTGGCTCGTCTCAAAAATATATATGTACATATTTAAACGTAATCTAGGACGTCTTTTGCAATTTTATCACATAAATACTTACAATATTTTTTTTCCTATTTTTCTAAATTTCCGCAACTCAAAAAACGGAGACTTCGGCAAAAATTCTYGATTTTGCATACGAAGACCAGACACGTAACCGGAACGTACCCTGATTWTTTTGCATGCATTTTATTGAGTCGGTAGGTGAGTTCAACTTCATAACAACATAACTCAAAATCAAAATGTCCAGCAATTCCCGCAACAGTCGGTTCCAYGCACCGGAATTGACCCGGATTTTATCCGGCTAAGGGCTGGTATTGCAGAGATCTAACCCCGTTAAGATCGGTAAGTCTTAGCGTAAGCTTGTCGTCACTGAAGCARCGCCTTGCAGGAGGGTTGCTCCTGACTCGTTCTGGCATTTAGTCCAACTCGGGCTCGGAGAAATTCTTCTGCTGCGTTTGMGCCAAAAGGCTCCATCCAAACTCCATCTTAGTCAGGTGTAATATATACAGTGAATGGAGCCATCGGTGTATCGATAGCCGCTGTCGAAAAAACCAAGTTAAACACCCGCTCTTCTCAGTTGGGTAGGCTTCAACGTTTTACGTAAAGGTCGTGAGCAATATTATAGAGGAGGCTTATCCTTCTTACTGCGCAACACCGTGCAATATCGTCTTAYCGATGGCGATATTGACCGCATGGATACTATTCTTGAATGTCATGTTATAGCTATCCCGTCAGGTCCGATGACGAGCTTGAAATGTTCATTACATACATCCCTCCAGTTAAATGTTGCCCTAAATGATATTACCCGAACATAAATGCGCTACTTCGTGGTGAAAACCTTTTTGTACTAGGCGATTTTAATGCGCCCCACGATCCTTAGCATTGATGCCTCGCAAATAATCGCAAGGGGATAGAGCTTGCGGAACAGATAGACGATTTGACATTCGAAGCCCTCACCAGAATTATGGGCACCTGTAATTGGTCGTCCAATATTACCATTGCTAGTGGAGGTCTGATAAATAGCATAACTTGGACCTACGATAATTCTAACATYAGACCATCGGCCCACAATTATCTCGATCGAGAAACCTTAGGACTTTATTTMTGTGTACAACCGCACTTTCATTACCTTTAACAAAGCTAACTGGGTTCGCTTCACAGAATTTACCGAGAGAAYCCTCAACGCATTACCCATACCTACGGACTTCCTACAAGCACTCCCCGCCATTAATTTTGTTTCTCTATGCACGCCACTTCCGAGGAAGTAGGACACCACGGGGATGTTCGAGCAAGCAAATAACTGTAGCAATATTGCGACAGTGTTGTTTKTCTGCAGATACTCAGCTGATTCTTTAGGAAGACAAAGTCATATTCTAGTTACAAATGTATGTAGTCATGCGAATTTCCTGCAATATATAAAGAAGATAAGATTTATAATTACTGAGCTAGTAATGCATATAAATGTAGAAATATGGACAATACTAACTGTCAACAATTAAAAAAGAAAACTAAGCAGGATTAGTACATGAGTTCAGCTTTTTAACCGTAAGTTGGAATTATGTCTATAAATGCTTGTTTATATACATACTAMATACTAAAAAGCAGGATAGAGTCATGKGTTGCAGATTGCCATTCACTTSAAAGTGGCCAGAMATAATCCTTTAATGGCTCAAGCAGYTCACGATTKCCGGCCCTAGACCAAGTAAATACCCACAGAACATTCGTTTGAAGGCTAGGWAAAGTAAGAAGGCGAACCCTCMTCAGGGTTGTGCGCTGGTTTTGAAACCCGCCTCGTAAAAAACGCCCGCAATGAAAARGAAACATTTGCCTCCGAGAAGGAACCCTCCTTTCATTGGCAAACAGATTAAGGATAACATTACTGCTATTWAGAGGAATTTTTTAGTCGTTATTAGGCAAGTGAAATCTTCAGCTAAATTTAGGGTACGTTAAAAAAGATCCTCAAAGAAATCAGATTTCAATCTTTCATCGTCGGTTATAAATACACAAATTAGGAACGCAAATTCGTGATAATTCATACAATTMCTTTTTTTCTACCGGGCAAATATTTACCCGAAAAGTATCAAGTACTTCACAAGTTTTGCTTATAATAGTATGCACAGTAGTATGCTGCTGTAAATATTTCTGAACTTCCTCATCTGCCAAACACCTTTTATAATAGAAATAGTTATGTAAATGATTAATTCAYGGACTTTAGTTACTTACAAAAGAGTAAAAAGTAGTCTGCGTTTGTTAGTGATAACATTTCTTAACAAATTTCGGAGTGGTGCCGAGTTTAGACAGYCCTTGGCCGGATTAAAATCCTCGTCCATTCCGGTTACTTAGAGCCTATTGTCGCTGACTGGCACTGTTGTTTAGCTAGACCCAGCTTTGCCAAATTATAAAGTCAAGTTAACCCCTCTTCTGACCTATGTAAGCATCTCTGGACATTGCAGCAAGTACTAAAATATTGCACAAATGTTGAGTATTCCAATTTAAGAAGTCTTTAATATTATTCTCCCACGAATTTTCGTTTTACGGATTTCAAATATAATATTTAGTCATTGGCGTACTTCATGGAATAGAGTTATAGTTATTGTTATATATAAATCTGTACAAATTAATGAAAATAAACATATTTCCCAGTTTGTTTTGTTTCGATAATTCCTATGTAAGCAATTACTGAAACGAAAACATTCGGAGAATCGAAACGCGAATACCGCCAAACTTCATAGAAAAGTTTTTTTAATTTTATAAGAAAATCAAATAATAAGAAATATGTAAAACCCAACTGCAAATAGTGAAGTATATTAATCTCTTATTATTTTATACAAAATCATCTAAACTCCAGCCAAAGTGCTTGTAATGTATATCAAACAATTATGGTATTTTTGACACACCCAGTAGTAAAGAAATCGCAACACCGCTTCTCCACAAGTAATAACCATTGCCAACCATCTGGTAAATTGATTGCCATTAGGGTTGGAAATAGAATAGGTGGGTTTTCGGGAGTGATATTTCATGATATCAATGAAAATGCGTAATAGCCCTGACCCACGAGCAAAATTAATGCACCTTAAGCAACGCTAATGTCCATTGAAATTTTATGGTGACAGACGGCATTTATACAGCTGTGCATTTATACAGCTGTGCATTTATACAGCTGATGTTTAAATTTGTTTACTTCTTAGAAATAGTGAAATAAAAATGAATAAGAAGGAAATATTAATGGCAATTTTGTTATTTTTAGAATATCAAGATGAATTTAATGAAAAAGTCCGTTTATTACTGAATGAGTTAAAAGAGAATAGAGTGAAAATAAACGCAATACTTGATTGTAACGCAATCTTAAGAGCTAGTATTAGCTACACATACGAAATGTTTGAATATTTTAGATCTACCCACTGCTGATGTTGAGCTACCCAATGGCGACACTGATGGCGAGTTCGTCAATGTCATTACTGGCGTAGACAATAATTCAGATGACATTGGTT